AGGGGGGCAGGCAGTTAGGAGCGACCAGGCAGGCAGGCAGGTGAGTGGTTAGGAGGCAGCGGTCCAGGATTGTGAGAGGATGTCCGACTGCTGGTTTAAAGAAATGAACATGACTCAGAGCAGACTTCAATTTAATTCACTTAAACAGGCAGTTGGACATCCCTTGAGTGGTCCCGGATTGGAGAGAGTGCAGGCTGGGCTGAGGGGACACCCCTCTCCTGGTGCAAGAATTATCATGCACTGGGCCTCTAGTAATTAATAAGAGCACCAGAGAAGTCAGGGTCACAGAGGTTAGTCATGGAGGGGACATTTAACACTGGGAGTCATCAATAGTATCAAATGCAATGGAGAAGTCACAATGGATGTAGCTGACTTGTTTTTTTAAAAAACACATGTGTGAACCTCAAAAGAGAAGTTTCTCTACAATGAAGGATGGAGGGCAGAGAGCAGGAAACAGGGAGCTGAAGTAAGAGTAGGTGGTGAAATAAGAGCAGGCAAAGGAAGTAACCCACATTTACTAGTATTGAGCATGAAGAACAGCAGCTTGAGAGGAAAGAGAAGGTTGTGTTAAGATAATCAATGGCAACCTCTTGTTTCAAAGCTATGTTCCAAATAGAGTCTCCAGGAAGGAAATCCAGGTCGGAGGGCAGATAACTGATAGATAGAAAACAACAGTGTCTTTTCTGGCTTAACTTGGAAAGAAAGTCAGGCACACCTTTACACTTCACCACAGAGTAAAAGGAAACTGATAAAAACATGGGGAATGTGGGTGAAAAGTGAGGAATGTGAGGAACTTCATATCAGTTCATTGGTCCTGATATTCTCAGGGAGTTGGACTAGAAGCACAGTCATGAGTTGAGAGTGAGGGATGGAATTTAAAAGCAAGAGCAACATGCACTTAGCTGGGAAAGAACCACCGGTCCCCTCTGCGTGGTATAAAACTGTATGTGCTTCTGATAGCTGATATTGTGAGGAAAATCATGCATGGTAGCTGTTACTAATCTTCAAAATGGAAAGGCAAAGACTTCTAAAAGCAACTCTTTTTCAACAGCCTACAATAGCAATTTTCAACCAGTGTGCTGCAAGAATTTTTAAAACATACAATACCCGACTATTTAGTCAGGGGCACTGACCTCTTTTCCCTTAGGTTGTCAAATGAAAAAAATGACAACAGCCAACACAATAGCCATCCAGTGTGAATGAATCACAATGATACCTTTTATTCTTGTCAGATCAGCAAAAAGCACATTGTTTGGTGCCACAGAACTTTAGTAATTAGTTTATGTGTGCTGTAAGATGAAAACTACGGAATTGGTTTATGTCAATTTTCGGTACATGCAGAAAATGTACAAGTCTTCAAATACCAACTTATGCTACATGAGAATTAAGGCACCCTAAGAAAATAGGCCAAATATTCCTAAGAGTACCAATAAGTTCTACTCTTTCATCTGGGAATCCAAACACCCTCAAGTTGCCTAGTTGTAAGTAAAATTAATGATTGGAGATCAGTACCGAAGAATTATTCTGTTATTTATTCCCTGAAGGACACATTTATTCGGCAGGAAAAAAAAATCACTAGGCAATCCACAGATGTCTAGCCACTGCCAGTGTGCTGTCCATGGGTGGGACAGTTCATCTCCCCTGTGCACTGACTTTTGAAAATCTCCAGATCGATTACTCTCTTTCTCCAGATAAAAATCACCTAACTGATAGGGAACTAGGAGGATGCATGTCCAAAACCGGGGGAGGCTTGTTATAATACAGAAATTAAAATGTGCCTCTCAACCCAAATATCCTTGAGAAGAACTGAAGGAAGAATTGAAGTGAATTAAATTGAAGTCTGCTCTGAGTCATGTTCATTTCTTTAAAATATGTGATTAGAAATGTTGCCAAAACACGTGTGTGTTCACAAAGATATGACAATGGTGGCTAGACTATCAGAGCTATGTACTTTCCTTATTAATATTTTCTGATTATTTCTACAAATGACCCAATTAACTGTAGAATTTAAAAATTAATAAATTAATGCTCCTTTAAGGGAAATAAGAATCCCCCTCTGAGTGCTTCCTTTTCTTTTGAACACTAATTAAGATGGATAAAGTAGATGCACTTGTCCTGCTGATACAATATAATTAAGCATTTCAAACTTCCCAACACTCATTAATTTGTATGTTTAAATATTCAAATGCAAACCCAGTATACATCATCTCCAAAAAGGAGTAAAAACCACTTTTTAAAAAATAATAAATCTACATAAAATTTTTAGTTCCTTTATTAAAATAAGTTTATTTTATTATTTTTAATATGTCTTTATTGTTGAAAGTATTACAGATGTCCCTCTTTTTCTATACTAATCAAAGGGTAATATGCTAATTAGACCAGGTCGACCGGCCATCTTCCAGATGTCCAACTTCCTTCTGGACAAAGCCATGGTGGTGGGGAGGCAGAGGCAATTAGGGGTGATCAGGCAGGGAGGGGAGGGCAATTGGGGGCAAGATCAGGCTGGCAGAGGAGAACAGTTGGGGGCGAGATCAGGTCGGCAGGGGAGGGCAGTTAGGGGTGATCAGGCAGGCAGAGGCAGTTAGGGGTGATCAGGCTAGCAGGGCAGAGCAGTTAGGGATGTCCACAGGGATCAGGCCTAAAAAGGCAGTCGGACATCCCCCAAGGGGTCCCCGACTGGAGAGGGTGCAGGCTGGGCTGAGGGCCCCCCCCCCATGCACGAATTCCGTGCACCGGGCCACTAGTATGCATATAAGTTCTTTGGCTAATCTCTTCATGGCCCCATCCCCTCCCTCTGAGAATAAATAACTATTAAAAGAGGTTTTCAAGCATTATTTTTGTAGCTGAATTCTTCAATATGACATTGTTCTGTTTAGAATAAAATGACTTCATATAAATGCTATATCAATAATAAGCCTTGCGCTGGGGTGAAGAATAGGTGTGTACATGTGTAAGGAGGGAGGCTGTGTTAAGCAGGGTCAGGGAACAGCCGACCTGCGAGCCATACAAGGCCCACAAAATCATTTGGTCTGGCCCTGGAAGGCATAAAGGGTGAGTTCATTAAATGTCTGACCAAATACAGCAGGCGAACTTTTAAGCTGACAATTTTGTATGGCCCTTGAATGATGTTTTAAATATACAAATGGCCCTTGGAAGAAAAAAAGGTTCCCCACCCCGGGAAAGTAACAAGAAATGAGCTGCTGCTTCTCATTAATAATTCCACCTGAATTAGAGTAAATTTTTCTTTAAAGCAAAAAAAAAAAAATAGGAAACCCCTTTAATTTGATTTGTATAGGAAATCTTTGTCCTACAATAGCTTATAGTCCGCAGTATGGCTGAAATGAGATTTTATCCAACAGAGTCAGTGTACTGTAGGAGCATAACTGATGTTAGGTGTTTAACTAGATATAGTAACTAGGCCTCCGCTTTCATGCAAAACACTTGAGACAGGGTGACAACTCGATCAGCAGAGTTAGCATTCGCTTTTACTAAAAACCCCAATGCCCAAGACTCCTTATTTTAGGAATTTGTCTTTTATCAAACCTAAATGTCTATACTCTCACCAGAAAAGACAAACTAGATGACATAAGCAAGCAATTCCTTAAAATGCATGTGTTCAATCAAAACATTCACTAATATCAGAATGACCACACCTACAAACCGTGTTAGAACTAAAATAGCCAAAGTGAACTAATCAAATGGTTTAACTACCTCTCCATCCTGCTGCCACAATCTGATTCCAAAGGGACCAGAGTCCTCCACTTTAGGACAGGGGCCCCCTGGGTTCAGAGTAATCTCATTCAAGTAAATATTTTCAGATAAGCAGACAACCTTCAGCAGACTTGGCAAAATAAATAAACTGGTTAAATCACTTGCATGTAAAAATTCTGGGCCATAAGTTTATTCTAAGTCATCTCAATCGTTGAAAGTAACAAAATCAATTAAAGCTAGTCCGGTTCCCAAAGTAACACATACGATTACAAACTGCATGTGTTGTTGTTTATTAATGAGGTAATGCTCTACTACATTCATATGACCATATACTTTTGTAACCTGAGATAATTCTTGCTTAAAAGATTTTAGTCACTTTCAGGGTCAAGTGATCTAAATGGGTAATTGGCAGTCATCCTCCAATGAGAAAATATTATCAGAGAAGGTTCACAGACAGGTGTGGTTGTGAGTTAAAACCAGAGGAGTGAGAAAGTTAATCTAGAATAAGAGCTGGAGATTTTCCTTTACCCTTCAATCCCTTACTCACAGTCCTCTAGGAATTTGGAAATGTAAATTCTCAATAAAATATATGATTTAAGAATCCTGAATTAGTGTTCCTGTAATGTAACACGTACATTATGTGTTATAATTTTTCCCCACAAATCTTGTTTCATCTCTAGACCTTAGAAACAATTCATAAACATTCTTTAGAGTTTACAATTTGCTGTAAACGCAAGTATGACTCTTATTTTCCTGCAAGAAGTGCAGCCATTCCCTTCATGGTATTTACCTCTCGCTCCTCTACCTCAATGTCGAGGAGACAGCAAGAGGGGGAAGATTTAGCCGTAACTGCAAAATAGTTACAGATGGAGGCTCCGGGACCAGACAGCATGGTTGGCATCAGGCCTCTAATGAATCCACTGCTCTGCTCCCCCGCTTCCCTCATCCAGAAACAAAAATAATATGAAGGTGTACTTCAGAGAGTCGTCGAGGTCATAAAATGAGTAAATTCATGACGATATAAGGAATCAAACACTGGCGATTATTTAACATAAAAGTTCTGTCAAAGTCTAATTTTGTGTCCCCAAATCAACAAGTAAGATTTGCTTACTGTAAGTCAAATTTTAAAATAAAAATAACCTGATTCCTACTTTTTCAAGAGTTTAATATCAAATTGACACTTCTAGCTGACTAACAGATTAGGATCTATTAAGTACCTGAAATTTCCAAATAAAATGATTCAAATTCATAACTTGATTTCAGATTCTTAATGCCAATTTAAGTCAGTGGTCCTGATTTAAAACATCAGTGTGCATGAGTATCACACGGGAAGCTCATTAAATGCAGGTGAGGGGAGCACCCAGAGTTCCTGACTCACTGGGGCTCGGTTTGGTGCCAAGGATCCTGCATTTCTCATGACTTCCCAGGGGAAGCCTGCACTTTGAGAACCTTTGTTGAAGATTAACAAATACAAAGACAGACCCACGCAAAACTCAGAAGAAAGAAATAACCAAAACATATCTTCACAGCAAAGGCATCTACCCAAATGGTCCTCTGGTAACAGAGGAGATTACAGTTAGAAATATTTGTGTGTGTGTTTGTGTGCATGCATGTCCACAGCAGTATTTATACCAAAGTAATAGCAATACAAGGATCCATGAATTTAATGATATATTCCCCAACACCGAAAACTTGGTTAACAGAAAAAAAAATTGTTTCTATGTAAATTCTGTTCAAGAAAATCATAAAAGACACTTTATATAATAAGCCTGGCAATTGGATACAACTGTTTTTCTTTCTAATGTAATTTTGGAACTTTATAATTTATAATGGGAGGAAACTGTTTCATCTACAAAAAGTTGATCAAACACAGATTTAAAATAATGACATTATTAACCAGGAAAAGAAAGGCAAAGAGCAAGAGATTTAACATCCCTAACAAGCACAGATTCTGAGTTAATGTAATTACTCTTACAGCATAATACATCATCTGATGTTGAGCACAGTATGTTTTCAGGTAAACAGCCATCTAAGAAAGCAAGCTTGCAACCTTCTCCGGGAAGCAGACTTCAAAAGGCTTGGATTTATCCTCGCAGGGAAAAATACCCAAAAGAACTCATACAGCATGAACTCTATGGCAGGTCTCAGTAAAAAGCCACAAGATTTAAAATTGCCTTTTAAAAGATGACTTTTCACCCACCCTGCCCCACATTTCCCAAGGAAATAAAAGCAGAAGTCATAAAAGTGGACAAACGGAAATCCAGTGTCTGCATAGCTTTGAGTCCACAGCACTTGAAGGTAATTTCTGATTGTGGAGTCCTCTCTTCCTCTCATGCTCTATTTCTCTCTAGAAACCTCAAGACTTTACTGATGAGAACTCTGCAAATTCTCTACCATAAAGAGTTTTAACAACTAAGCTAAGACATTAAAAAGGAAAATACCAGATGCCACCCTGCAGTTGAACTGACTACCACTTACTGGATACATTTAAATCCTCCAATCAACAGAGTAACCAGGTAACTTTATATCTAGAAGTATTTGACACTTTGTATTTACACTTTGACATATGTGAACATTTTTTCAGGTTTTCTTAAAATTGGAAACTTTTAGTAACAATATCAATGCAGGCACTTATTTGGGATAAAAATTAAAATATAATCCACAATAATGGTGTTAGAAATAACAATTTCATTTAAAAACTTATAGAGGACTGAAATAAAATACAAATGGTCTTACTAATTTTACATCAAGTGTGGAATTAGACTTAGATATAGAGAGAGCTGAAATTCTCCAGATCAAGAATATGTGTTAAATAAGTTGTAGTCTATGCAAAATGAGTAATCCCAAAGTAGAATTTCCAAAACTATCAAAGAATATACAACTCAAAGCAAATAGCGGTAGCAAGGAAAGTTAAAATCAGTGATCTTGTATCAATTACATATTGTTTTTGGTTTGTTTTAGGTTAAACAGGTGAGAGGTGAGGAGGTGTTGAAAACTGAAGCCATAATTGTGACAACGTGAATGAATCTTGTTTTACTTTCAATAATTAAAGGATGTAAAAAATTAATTCCACTGACATTTGGGGTATTTAGTTCTACCTTTATTTGTCATATTTAAATATTTTATATGGAATTTTTTTAATTTAAATATCTGTACTTTAACATTACCATATCTTATATTTAGGAATAATATTCTATAAACAATCAATTCCATTGTCTTTGATGAAATAAAAATGTTACAAATCTCACTTTAAATTTCAAAATTTAGATGTCAGATAACATATTCCAGTGAAGTGTTAGTTTATTTACAGCTGCTTGTTGGGGTATAATAACCTATGGAACCAGACATGAGCATGGTTTTGCTTTGTTATAGTATCTACCATTATATTTGAAGCTAAAGAATGAGTCCTTATGGGCCTGACTTTTGAATGGATGCCAGCAATATAGAGGCAGAAATATCCTTCAATTATAAAGGAAATTTTTCTTTCTGACTCAGTGTCTTACTTATTTAATCCTAATAGGCAATTATCAGTTATTTCTTCTTAGAATGCTTTGATGGTGCAACTAGAGTAAGTGAAGTCCAGGAATAAGGTTGGTGCAGAAAGGGTGACTGAATAGAAACAAAAGAACTTTTTAAAGGCATGGAAATGAAACCGGAGAACAAAGCAGAGCCCTAATATTGCTCTTCTAGACTTCATATATAAATATACAGATGTTTTTGCCTAAGATAAAAAATGTTCTAAGAGAGGCAAATATTCAACAAATAAAAAATACAAAGTATCCATACCTTCACATAATTCAGACCATTTTACTTTCCTAGAAGTAGAATATGATGAAATATCATGAGATTGTTTTCTTTGTTCTTACTACTTGCCACAAAAAAAATTAGAAACCTGTTTTTAAAGAAGGCTGTCCAGAAAAGTTACACACAGAGACAAAAGCAAAATCAGCTACTGGCACTGAAAATAACCACCCCCCCCCTCCCCTCCAGGTATCAAAGAGGGAACGCGGCCATGGACAACTTCACCTCTCCCCCGGGGAATGGCAGCCTGTGCACCAGGGACTACCACATCACCCAGGTCCTCTTCCCGCTCCTCTACACTGTCCTGTTTTTCACTGGACTCATCACAAATAGCCTGGCAATGAGGATTTTCTTTCAAATCCGCAGTAAATCCAACTTTATTATTTTTCTTAAGAACACAGTCATTTCTGATCTTCTCATGATTCTGACTTTTCCATTCAAAATCCTCAGTGATGCCAAACTGGGAACAGGACCACTGAGAGTGTTCGTGTGCCAAGTGACCTCTGTCATATTCTACTTCACAATGTATATCAGTATTTCATTCCTAGGGCTGATAACTATCGATCGCTACCAGAAGACCACCAGGCCATTTAAAACATCCAGCCCCAACAATCTCCTGGGGGCCAAGATTCTCTCTGTTGTCATCTGGGCATTCATGTTCTTACTCTCTTTGCCTAACATGATCCTAACCAACAGGAGGCCGAGAGACAAGAATGTGAAGAAATGCTCTTTCCTCAAATCAGAATTTGGTTTGGTCTGGCATGAAATAGTCAATTATATCTGTCAAGTCATTTTCTGGATTAATTTTTTAATTATTATTGTATGTTATACACTCATTACAAAAGAACTATACAGGTCATATGTAAGAACAAGGGGTACTGGTAAAGTTCACAAGAAAAAGGTGAACATCAAGGTTTTCATTATCATTGCTGTATTTTTTATTTGTTTTGTTCCCTTCCATTTTGCCCGGATTCCCTACACCCTGAGCCAGACCCGGGATGTCTTTAACTGCTCTGCGGAGAATACTCTGTTCTATGTGAAGGAGAGCACGCTCTGGTTAACTTCCTTAAATGCATGCCTGGATCCATTCATCTACTTTTTCCTTTGCAAGTCCTTCAAAAATTCCTTGATGAGTATGCTGAAGTGCACCAATTCTGCAACATCTCCCCACGAAAACAGGGGGAAAGGTCAGGATGGTAGGGACCCAAGCGAAGAGACTCCAATATAAACACATTGAGGTAAGATTTCAATCTGTTAACCAGATTGAAATATTAGTGTTTGGAACTCCTAAAAGAAAACACTATGTAAAAATATTAATACTAAGAAGCAGCTGAGTAACAATGACGCTTGAAACAATAGAAGACTACAAAAGTAATTTTCATTTACTTTTCCAGTATTAAAAGCTATCTTAAAATGTAGAAAACTAAATTAACATATAGCTGTGGAGCAAAACAAACTGTTATCCAATAACCATGTGACATGCAAAACCATACAGAATTCAAGAATTGAAGAGTTTTGGCAAAATAGGTAACAATATAATGATACTTACTGTAATTCTATAAATACATTATTGATCACAATATTAGTAAACTTACTATATAATCAACTGGAGAATGATAAGTCTGATAAAATCTTCTGACCAAAAATTATACTTATCTATAATAATAAAAACGTAACATGCTAATTAGATCAGGCTGCCAAACGACCTTCTGGACATTCTTCCGGATGACCTTCTGGACAAGTGGGGCTGCAAGGGCCGAGGCAAGCCACCGCGGCTGCAAGAGCCGAGCCCCTTGCACAAATTTTGTGCATCATGCCTCTAGTTAGTTGTATATACAATTCTAGTCCCCTAACCAAATGCTGACCTACTGTGATAATCATTATAAAAATTTAAGTAAGTGGGGCACACAAAGAATAGTAACTACTAACTTATAATTATCAGCAAAGACCTAAGGGATTTATACTAATTGAAATGGTAATAGATTAGACTGAATTTTTTTAATGTTCATTAAGATAGAAGATTAAAAACTACTTTCCGGCCCTAACCGGTTTGGCTCAGTGGATAGAGCGTCGGCCTGCGGACTGAAGGGTCCCAGGTTCGATTCCAGTCAAGGGCATGTACCTTGGTTGCGGGCACATCCCCAGTGGGGAGCGTGCAGGAGGCAGCTGATCGATGTTTTGCTCTCATCGATGTTTCTAACTCTCTATCCCTCTCCCTTCCTCTCTGTAAAAAATCAATAAAATATATTTAAAAAAAAACAAAAAACAAACAAACAAACAAAAACTACTTTCCCAATAAAAAGTATAGAAATAGCAAATGAAGCCATTAAATAAGGAGGCTTTTTATAAGATATTCTAATACACACATACAAAAACAAACAAACATAATACTCCCTTAACACTAGAGAAATCGGTTTTACTAATGTTTTCACAACTTTAGTAAATACAATAGCATCATTAACTTATCTTTATTAACTAGCTACTAGAGACTGCACACAAGTTAATAAACATTTCCCATAGTGAGAAAAACAAATGTAATTAAGCATTTGTACAGCATAACTATCAACAGGAAAGTGATTAAAATGGTTGGATTTATGCCCTTGCTGGTTTGGTTCAGTGGTTGGGGTGTTGGCCCTCAGACTGAAGAGTCCTGGGTTCGATATTTCTCTCTCTGCCTCTCCCCCTCCTTCTCACTCTGTCTAAAAATCAATGGAAAAAATATCCTCGGGTGAGGATTAACAACAACAACAAAATGTTTGGATTTACCTGTTTGTTATTTGTGTGTATAACAAAAAATTTACATTAAACTCTAAATCACACTTTGTTAGAAATTCTTTGTTCAAAGATATTAGATACCATGACTCACTTCCTATCTTCCCCCTACCTCAAATGTTAAACCCATTTAAGAAAGATTAGCTGCCAACACTTTTAAGACAGAACATTGAGAAAATCTTCTGAAGGTGACATCTCACATCAATTAGTTCATATGTAAATGGGAAACCAGGTCAGACTTCAAATGTAGACTGATTCCACAGAAGCCATGTTCATTATTTTTAATATAAATAAAATATACAACACACTGGGAATTATGACATCATTTATCTTAATTATATATGATCCTCAGAGGTGATTCTCAAGCAGAAGGCATAGATTCCAATATCTAAATATCATATGAGAAGAAATTAAAAGGCTGAATCCTATATAATAAAAGCCTAATATGCTAAGTATCTGGTCGTCTGGTTGTCTGTTCAACCAATCAAAGTGTAATATGCTAAGAATGGATTTTACATTTCAAATGTTTGTGGGGATAAAAGTTAGAAGAAGGGTAAAAGCTCATGCTGCATTAAAGTTACATGAAATTCAAGTTTCAGTGTCCATAAGGTTTTATTAGAACACAGCCACACCCACTGGGGTTTTACCTGCCGTAACAACCGGGATAAGTAGTTGTGTTGGAGACTACAAAGCCACAAAAGTATTTACTAGCTAGTTCTTTAAAAGAGTGACAACCCCTGGACTAGAACTTTAAAAGCAGAAGAAAACCCCTACACAGGAAAAAAACAAAACAAAAACAACCCTGTCTTCAAGCACCAGGGTACTTCAGTGGCTTTGCACTGTAAACAACTGCAGTCCAGTCGCTGATCTAGGTGACCTGCTAGCTGGGAATGCCCAAAGCGGGACTACAATGATGCCAGTGGGAGCTAAGCATGTGGAAACACGCTTACAAGTCTCTAAGTAAAAAGAGACAGCCTGACTTTTTAAAAAAATGGGGAAAGGGCTTGAAAAATCAATTTCCAGGAGAAATACAAATGGGCAGTATAATATAAATACATATATATCACTAATAATCAAATAAGTATACTAAAATGACATGGCTTTTTTGCACCATGAGTTTAGAATTGATTTATAAGTTTTTAAGCAAGGTGCTGTAGAATCCCACTCAGTGAGACTACAAATCAGTACAATCTTTCTGGAAAGCTATTGGAAAATAACGTTCTACATATTGATGCACAGTGTTTGATCCAGCATTCCACTTTTAGGGAACTTCCTATAAATATGTTGCAACAAATGCACAAAAATATATGGACATGTATATGCTCTACAGTACTGTTTTTTAATATGAGAAAAAAATGGGAAAAATAAATGCCCAACAACTTAACTAAACTATGATAACTTTATATTGTATATCATTTTTTTAAAAATTAGGGAAGTCATCATGTACTGACATAAAATAAAATAAAGATACAATATATCAATAAATGTAAATATATATGTACATGTACATATTTCCAAACCATTGGTATTATATGTAAAAGGGATTAACTTGCAATTACTACTATATACATGTCTATATTTGAACTCTTTAAACTTTATAATAAAATTATGAAGCTGAATATTCATATAATTGTTTCAGATATTGTGAATCAATTGCCTGTTTCCAGTCATAGGTACAGACTTTCTAATGTTGAACTTAATAATAGACAAAGATTACTACATTTAACTTGAAATTGCATAATTTATTTTAGCTTATTATTACCACTTTCGGTTAATCCAGTGTGGAATTTTTTAAACATTTTGATATAATCTGCGAAAGTACCATGGTATACCTTGATGGGAAGTAAAAGGTTCTTCTATGAGTACAGGAGTTCCCATTTTGACTTTCAATCCAAATAAAAGTAAATACTTCCTCATCTTTCACATATTATTTACATGGCACTGGTTACCACATCAACAGGAACCTTTAAACTGTTAACTCTGATCCAAAGGAAAATCCCAAAGGAGACTACAAATGTAGTTATTCCCATTTTGCAGGCTTCTAATTTTTATTTTATCTTCTTTGATTCTCTTCTGATTATACTGCTTTGAACCAATTTATGTTTTCAACCTCACATCTCACTTTAAGACAAGAAGTTTCACAAGTCCATTAACTTTATAGTTTACTGTTTCGTCTCATTCATCATTCAGTTATGCCCACCTCAAAAACTCCAGAATTTGGTAAACAATTCCATGGTCACCTTATCTGTGACTTCTAACAGCCAGGAGAGAGTAAGGCAGGCTCTGAGTGTGGGGCCTAGAGCTAGACTGTGGGTTTGCAGTGGGCCTGGGCTGCATGATCTGAGGCGAAGTGCTTAACTTCTGCACTTCTGTTTTCTCATCTGTAAAATGGGACCGATCACTGCTGTAAGAATTGAATAAGATCATATTATCAACAGACCAGCACAGCCAGTGTGATTTTATTAGTTTTGACTATATTCCCTTTTGAGTCCGATAGGATTTTATTTTTTAAAATATATTTTTATTGATTTCAAAGAGGAAGGGAGAGGGAGAGAGATAGAAACATCAAAGATGAGAGAGAATCATTGATCAGCTGCCTCCTGCATGCCCTTACTAGGGAACAAGTCTGCAACCTGGGCATGTGCCCTGACTGAGCCACACCAGCTGGGTGGATTTTAAATGTTTAGTTTATTCACATTTGACAGGCACCTAATTTCTGGAACCTTTACTTATATCTTACTAGAGGCCCGGTGCATGAAATACTTGCATGGGTAGGGTCCCTAGGCCTGGCCAGAGATCAGGGCTGATTGGGGTCTTCCTTCCCCTGGCTGCTGGCTGCCGGCCAGGGCCTTCCTTCATTCCGTGCCACCCACTGGTGGTCAAACACCCGGTTGGTAGAACTCCTGAGGGGACAATTTGCATATTAGCCTTTTATTATATAGGATTTGATTTTTTCCTCCTGTCTTTCATGAGCTATCCCACAGTTCTACATTATATTCCACTTTTCTTTTAATTTCATTTAATAGAAAACATGCCAATACCTACCATGTCACAGGATTCATTCTCCACAGTGGGTGGATTTTCACCCATTGTATCCCTTTAACAACACAGAAAAGCAGACACCATTACTTATTTTCATATAAAGTGGAGACAATGGTTTCATAGAGAGCATGAATAACTTGCCCAGGGTCATAAGAAAAGTACGAGTTAGAATAAGGAATTGAACCCAGGCACTCTGGCTCCTGAGGCCATGCTCATATCTGCTCTGCTGGGCAGCCTCTCAGAGACAGTATCAAGGGCAAAATACCTCCCCCATGGGTCATGGCAACTCATGAGAACAAAGAAAGACGGCCAATGCACACTAAGCACATGGACGCATAGGAATGAGTGACCTATGGAATATTTACTATGATGAAAAATTTTGAAACCTACCAACCCATTTAAAAGAATACCCTTCTGTAACTTTAGAAATCGATACCACTTGAGTTCCCCTTTTGAAAGTTTCCCACACTCTGGCATTTTGAAATTTGACCAAAATGTGATTTCCAGTTTTCACATTATGAAATGAAATTTCCCTTGTTTAAATTGAAACTATTCCAAACCTTCAATGGATTTGCCTCTGTCAGGAAATGTACACTTAATTACGTAAGTCAAATCCCTCTACTTAAAAAATAAAACTAAAAAAGTTTTGTTTGTTTTTACTCTCTAATAAAGCAAACAAAAAGATATGTTTAAATTATGTTCCATTGCATTAATGAAATCCAGAATCTGTATTTCCAAGAATCAATTTGAATGAAACACATTTTTTTTTTCAAACTGTGTCACCATAGGTTAGTTCCAAGCAAAATTATCAGGCATCCCATTGCCTCAAAATGTCTGGTTGGTTATAGAGTTTTATTCTCAGAATCCCAAGCCAAGTCATCGAAAAATTCTCAATCAACCAACCCGACAGTCTACTCCAGCTCTGTGGTTAAACTTGTAGCACAAAATATGAAGTGAAACTCACCATGGAGAACTCCACATTCCCTCATAAGATCTCTAAATTTCCTCTTTCCCTTGACCTATCTGGCAAGACAACATTTATTATAGATTTTTGTCTATATAAAAGCAGCAATTAGCCTGGCCAGCATGGCTCAGTGGATAGAGCCTGGGAACTGAAGGGTCCCGGGTTCGATTCCTGATCAGGGCATATGCCCGGGTTGTGCGCTCAATCCCCAGTGTGAGGTGTGCAGGAGGCAGCCAACCAATGATTCTCTCTCATCATTGATGTTTCTATCTCTCTCCCCCTCTCCTTTCCTCTCTGAAATAAATAAAAATATATTTTTTAAAAAAACAGCAATTACTCTTTCAAACTTGAAGAGATCTTAAAGAAAAAAATTTGTAGACCTTGGCCCAAGATTGATTGATGGATAAAATTCCTGAAGTCTATAGCACTTCGCATATAACATGAAATACAGGGAAGATTTCCAAAAATGGTTTTCTAATAAATGAGAAAGTATGTCGCCATTTAAATCTATAATTCCCACACCAGAGCAGTGACTAAAATTTCTCAGCCAGCACTATTCCAGGCCCGCACTTCGTCCTCTCAGCAAGACTACAGGGTATACACCATTACTGAACCCACCACACAGAGGAGGACACTGCAGCACAGAGCCATCAAATCAGCTGTCTATGATCTAGTACACAGTAATTGGTGGGTGTGGGATTCTGACTCCAAAAATCTGGATCTATTAGCCCTTAACCCTTAGCAAATATGTCATTTTCTCTTTCAGAGATGGAAAGACAAAAAGACTAAGATAAATGTTTATAGAAACAAACAGGCCATCATACTGAACACAAATTTCTGGGGAAAACAGTCTAGAAGGATGCAGATAATGATTCTATCTGATTTTAGAGTCAACTATTACACTTTGTTGTAATTTGGGCTATTTTCTTTATCTTTCTGCCTCCCATTACTATATACAAGAGGCACTCAAAAATTTCATTAAACAAGTAGGTAAACAAGATTAAGCTGCAGGAAAGTTACACTATGAGAAAATATAAAGAAACTGCAACTAATTTATGCAAGTCATAGTAGATGAAGAGTACATAACTTTGAAATAAGAGATTTCTTATTAGAAAATCCTCCGAAGGTCTGAATGTGAAGAGATTCCAATGGATCACATTACACGTGAAATGAGGAAGGAAAGCAGGTTTAAGAAAGCAGAAGGGCTTGCTTCACACGCTCTTCGTGGGCTGATCTAATGACTGCGCCAAGCAGGAGACAGCGAGCGAGCCTCCTCGCAAACAAAGGTGAGTTTCAATTTTTATTATAAGTGTGCTTGCTTATAAATGGTAGACTATACTCAAGGTGGGAAATGCTTTAAGGTTAACATTCTACAAACTAGATTAGGAGCATAAAAAATTATATAATGTACAGTAATCTGACATCCATTAGTACCTCTTAAATGGGGTTTTGTTTTACTGCCATAGTAAGAGTAGCACTTGTGAATCGGGTAGGACCTGTTATTTGGATTTCATAATGCTGAGAGTAAGGGTAATGTTACAAGTACCAAAACCGTATTATGCACTTTAAAAATCCTAAACAAACTGTGCCTTCTCCACCGATCTACTGAATGTGATAATGTTAACACAGAAGGTATTAATATGCTACAAACCTAAAGTCTGTTTTTTCTAAAAGCAGCATTTTGAAATCATGAAAGGCTTTGTTTTACTGTGTGTCTGTGTGTGTTTATTTGTAACAGCTGACACTGGAAATCATGAACGCCACAGTGACGAAGGGCTTCAACGGGTCTGAGCAGTGCCCCAGGGATACGCGGATAGCACAGCTGGTGTTCCCAGCCATTTACACCATTGTTTTCTTCACCAGCATCTCGCTGAACACTCTGGCCCTGTGGGTGTTCATTCACATTCCCAGCTCTTCCACCTTCATCGTTTACCTCAAAAGTACTCTGGTGGCCGACTTGGTAATGACACTCACGCTTCCATTTAAAATCCTCTCCGATTCACACCTGGGACCCTGGCAACTCAGAGCCTTCGTGTGTCGCTTCTCCGCCGTCATCTTCTATGAGACCATGTACGTGGGCATCATTCTGCTGGGCCTCATCGCCTTTGACAGATTCCTCAAGATCATCAGACCTTTTGGAAAATTCTTTGTACAAAAACCCACTTTTGCAAAAACAGTCTCAACCTTTGTCTGGTTCCTTTTGTTCCTCATCTCTCTGCCAAACATGATCTTAAGCAACCAGAAGATGACACCGTCAACTGTGAAAAAGTGTGCCTCCTTAAAGAGCCCTCTGGGGTTGAAGTGGCACCAAGCGGTGAATTACATATCCCAGTTCATTTTCTGGACGGTTTTTGCCTTAATGCTTCTGTTTTATGTGGTGATTGCAAAAAAAGTATATGATTCTTACAGAAAGTCGAAAAGTAAGGACAGCAAAAGCAACAAGAAGCTGGAAGGTAAAGTGTTTATTGTTGTAGCTGTCTTCTTTCTGTGTTTTGCTCCATTTCATTTTGCCAGAGTTCCATATACTCAGAGTCAAACCAACAGCAAGACTAACTGTAGATTGCAGCATCAACTGTTTATCGCTAAAGAAACAACTCTCTTGTTGGCTGCAACAAACATCTGTATGGATCCCTTAATATATATTTTTTTATGTAAAAATTTCACAAGAAGGTTATTATGCATGAGAGGAAGAAAGACTACAGCATCAAACCAAGACAATCATACCAGTCAGACAGACAATATAACCCTAAACTGAAGACTTTATCATGGCTCACTTCTATTTATGGACTAGATTTCAAAAGACAATTTATTTGGAAATAACATTTAAGCAATAAAAAGGGATTAAAATAAATGTTTTCTTACATTTTATTATCCTGATGTACAAAAAGGATTATGTAAATTTAATTCCACATAGATGTATTCATAAGCAGAATGAAGTATCATTAAGAGAATGCAACAGAAAGCAAGTGGCCACTAGAGGTCATCTTTTCTAGAACATTCACTTACATTTTGGAATAGATTTATTGTGGATAAATGTGTATTCCAAAAAACCTCCCCTCCAAAACACCTTCTCACATTGTTTTACACACATAATTCAAACAGCACTCCGACTTTGTATTCCAAAAATGTTGATACTTGCTGAATTTTTGGGAAAAAAGAAAACCACCTTGAAAGTCCTTCGGTGAAGCTGAAACTTAGGGGTTGAAAGGGATGCCACATATGAAGCATCTGGGGAGCTGTAGGTGGTCAAAGGCCTTTGAAAGCTCCTTACAGTTACAAAGAGCCTTTTCCATGTCAACATAGGAGGCACGGGCACCATAATTAAGCCACATGAAACACTGTGCTATAATACTTTGCTCACATGCCAAGAGCATACAATTCAAGGGCAAAAATACTGTATTCTTCTTCTTTAGAATTTCCCTCTGCCCAGCAAATCCTCTAATGGTGGTTGAATATGCCACCTACTTGGTTAGCAAAGCCTTCCTGGGCAACAACCTCTATCCTCCTGCCTCCCACTCTGGTTAAAAATAATTGCTTCTCCAACTGTTTGGGAATGTTTTAGGGCCTTCATTGCATATGTCCCTTTACCAGTTCACTGTACTCTTGACCGCATCCCCTAAAGATGGTTAGGATTCTCTAAGAAAAATGTGTTTTGAAGACAGAAAATGTCATTTTTTATTGGTAAATCCCACAATACTTCCCACTGACCTTGGGTTACAAATGTTTTATATAGAATATGTCAGAATATTATGCTATTCTTGGTACATACATAGATGAAACTGCTGGCCCACAACCAGTAACATCCATACTGGAATATTTTTCAAAGGATGGAGCCCTACTTGGACTTATTTACCTCTGCATGTTTTTCCTGAATACCTTTGTGGTTCAAAAAAAACTACAAAATGGTTATCTGGTATTGTAGATGCCAACTTAAAACTTCCAGAGAGAATGCACAAAGGAATGCTCACGCTCTGTAAATGTGCCTCCAGCTCCAGCGTTATCATCGGAAGGTGAATCTCAGGCCTCTTCCTATGCCCTCAAGGGCACTGAGGCCCTGGAACCTGCCCACCTCTCTGGCCTCATCGCCTCACTGCTTTTCCATCCCTGGAACTTCACACTTTTCTATAAACCTGAACATGCCAGGCTTTTTTGCCCCTGTGCCATTGCACATGTAAATTTACCTCTGACTCACCAAGAAAACTCTTATCCCTCCCTAAAATCCTGCGTTGCCATCACCTAGTCCATGAAATATGATCTGGCCAACCTCCCACCACCATCTCAAACCCAGTCCCTCCCTGTCTGTCATGCCTCAATTGCTGATCTCACACTGCATTGTGATGACTCCTCCTGCAGGCACCTACTGTTTAAGTAACCTACATGTACTTCTGAAGCAGAGATTGTGCCTCATTGTGCAATCAATAAAGGTTTGATAATAAACCAAACTGGTTTTATTTTTACATACTAGAAAAGCAAAAGGAAAATCCATTTTCACTGATGTTTTCATTATCAAAAGATGATAAACATTTCTTGAAAGCTCTTTTCAGTTGAGTTCCTACAGCTTGGACACAGGGGCCGGGAAAGTGGGGATGTTCTTGGGTTCTCTACTGAGTGCTCATGAAAGAAGCAGGATTACTAAATAGCACATGAATAGCTTGGGGGCTGATGTCTATGGACATATCAGTTTGAAACTATTGGTAAAATGCTCCAGCTATGTACTGTTGGTTTTGGGTAAGTAACTGCAGTCTATTACAATATCCCAAACTCTCCTTTTACAAAGTGCTCTTGAAGTCTGATTTTCATTCTCTCAAATAAAAGAATTAGATCATGGTAACTGTTAGTGATGTCACTAAATGCACAGTACTTTTACTGAATACATTACATATTCATGAGTAGACTCTAATACAGTTTTATAAAAAACTGCATCTAGATAATGTATACAATTTTTACAAAGGTCTTTCAAGATAAAATTTCAATAGTAAATCTGTCCTCCATAAACACAAATATTTAATTCTATTGCAATAACATCATAATCAAAAGTGGAGTAAATGGTGTGTAGAATAATCTAACAAGAACTTAGAGAAAAGGCATAGTAGAGCCATCTTAAAATCATACAAAATGCAAAGCAACTATTTGAGAACAAATTCCCAAACTGGCATCAAAATACTAAGTTATGTAATACTTATAGAATGGGATGCTATACCACAGCCATTAATGACACACAAAAGAGAATGTTGTTTTTGTGTGTGTGTGGTGTTTTTTTTTGTGTGTGTGTGTGCGTGGTTCTTTTTTTTTTTTTTTAAGTAGCTTTGATATAGTGTGTGAGCTTAGAGCACAATTAAGGGCTTTTGTGAAAAGTGAAATATAACTGTTATTACTGGAAAAGGTCTTCTGACTATCCCTGGGGCAGGCAAAGGGTGAAAGGGTATTGCCTCATACTGAAGAATTCTTGAGAAACCAAGAAAATTTACTGTAAATGAGAGAGGAGAAGGCAGACAAGCAGTGAGAATTCCAAACCACAGAAGTTAGATGGCCAATGTAAAGTTATTAATTAGAATCTTAAAAGAATTATTAAACAATGGAATACTATGCTGTGGTAAAAAAAGAAGGAGTTCTTACCATTTGCAACAGCATGGATGGAACTGGAGAGCATTATGCTAAGTGAAATATGCCAGTGAGAGAAAGATAAATATCACATGATCTCACTCATTTATGGAATATAATGAACAACATAATCTGATGAACAAAAACAGATCCAGAGACCGAGAAACATTGATCAGACCGTCAAACATCAGAGGTAAGGTAGGGGAGGGTGAGGGTAAGGGGGAGAGATCAACCAAAGGTCTTATATGCATGCATATAGGCCTAACCAATGGACACAGACAACAGGG